GACTGGAAAAGGCAATTCGCTGGACGTCTCGGGGTACATGGCCGCAGCTGCCCACGCACCCTTCAGAGGTCGCAGTCTACAGTTTCAGGCCCTGCAGCAGCAGCCATAGCCGCCCCATCTCTTCCGCGACCTTCCTTGAGCAGAAGAGGTGCACTCAGCTCCCGCGCCTCTTCGTTGTTTCGTTCGCCATCGACGGTCCTGGGTCCCGAAGGACGGCCTCCAGACGCCGAGAGCTGCGAAAAGGCTTCGGCGTAATAAGTGCAAGATGTTGGAGGCCACATTCATAGTTTGCCTTGTTTCTGCATTCTCTCTCTCTCTCTCTCTCTCTTTCCCGGACTTCGGCCTCCAGGGGTTGCATTCGGGCCCCAGGACAATCAGAAACATATCTGGGCCCCAATCTTGAAGCAGCCCCTAGATGGCGAAGTTTGGGGAAAACTTTTTGGGACTCACGAAAGAAACTCAGAGGTCAGGGTTCGTTCCCCTTCTCTCCTTCGGTCACCCGCCTCCCTCACCACCGACACCCCCCTCCCAGAGAGATAGGTTCTGCCACGACCCAGACCCACCTTTAGCAATGCCTTCCCTCTCTCCCTCGCTTGCCTGCTCTCTCTCTCTCTCTCACTCTCTCTCTCTTTCTATATCACTCTCTCCGCGCCCTGCTCCCACCCACTGACCCTTCGTCGCTAGGGCATGTGATTCGGCTGGCAGGCCAGACGTGCCTGTCATTGTATCATTAGCAAGGGAGTTCCATTATGTTTTTTGTTCACGGTCAGTAGTTCCGAGACAGTGACGCAGTGCATTCTGGCATTTCCTCCCTCAGCATATTCATCCTCCTTGTTCTCACCCCTCTTATACCCCCTCTGTCTGTATGTGTCAATATTGTCTTCTCTATGTTGTCTCTCTCTCTCTCTCTCGTTTGTTCTCGGTATACACACATATATACGTATATGTGTGTATGTTTACAGTTGTGTATATGTATGTAAATTTAATGGTGTCCATGTCTCACCCTCTCCCTGTTCATACACATTGGCGTTTTCAACGATATTTGTAGACATACATATTTATGTATAAACATACATGTATGGATTCGCCAGCGTGGACCCCACAAACGTGTGTTTCTGGCAACACAGGTTGTGTAACCTATGTGGTGCAATTTATGTTGTGCGTGCAATCTGTGTTGCGCAACCTATGCTGTGCCGTAAGAGTTGTGCGATCAATATTTGGTGCGCCATCGATGTTGTGCACTCTGTGTGGTGCGATCTATGTGGCGCAGTAGATGGGAAGCAATCGATGGATCGCAACACACGTTGTGCAATCCATGTTGGGCAGTCGATGTGGTGTAAGCTGCGTGGTGCAACACATGTAGTGCAATATATGTGGTACCGTACATGTACGTACTGCAATCGATGGTATGCCATGTGCGTGGTGCCATGATTTGGTGTTATCAATGGTATGCACTATAGGTAGTACAACCTACGAAGTGCAATCTATATTTTGCAACATCGGTTGCGCAATGTATGTGTTGCAACCTATGCTGTGCAATCTATGTAGTGCAACCAGTGCTGTGAGCGATCAAAAGCGCGCCACAGGCGCGAGCGAAAACATCACGCCATCTACGTGTTACAATCTATGTTGTGCAACAATCTACGCGGTGCAATCCACGAGGTGCAATATAGGTGGTGCAATCGACGTTATGCATTTGTTTTCCCAACTGGGCTGGCACATGCCATGTTTTTGCAAACATCCCACCCACCCACCCGCAGCTTAATTTACAAAACCCATGCGGCGGCGATTGCGATGAGTGCTTGGCGTTGGCTGGTGCATCTCTGCGGCCGCGCTCGCCCGCGCACCCTCGCGCGCACAGCGGCCAGCTAGTTTGGCGCGACCGACGCGACCGCGGTGGCGGTGACCGCTGGGCATTTCCCTGCGGCACCTCAGTACGAATCGGTGAGTTCGGCGGGCGCGGTTTCATGGCGACGCCGACAACGGTAGACACGATTACGAAAGTAGCGATGATGCTGACAAAGGCGGCGATGACGACGGCAGGGCCAATGACGGCGCCGATGTTGATCTCGCCCGCCGATAACAATGGCGATGTCCTCGCGTCGGCGGGGGAAGTTTTTGAAGGAGTTTGACATGCGCGTGCGGCCGACGCGCGCGAGTGGCCCGCGTGGTATTATTTGACACGAATGGCGCCCCCCTCCCCCCCCCGAAAACCATTGTTTTTTGAATCCGCAGGGTCGTGAGAGCAGAAGTAGCTTGAAAACTGATGTTGCAAAACCGTGCGTTTTAATCATGTTTCGCGACTCTCGACTTTGAAATCCTTACGAAACCGATGGTTTTTGATGGATGTTTGCATGCACGTGCACTTTCTTCCATTGAATGGGTAAGGGGTTTTTGGTGAATTGCAGATTTTTGATAAACGGGTGCGCGCGCATAGTATATTTTTACCTAACAGCAAAGACTGATAGGTTTCTAGTGGTGTCAAAAGAGAGCATCTGATGACTCAGAAGGGAGGTCGGGGCGGCATCCGGACAGCGAGGGCCGGGCTCAGGGCCGGGCTCGTTTTAAGCAAACAGTCACACACTTCGTGCTCTTCGACCTCCCGGAACTCCATTCCCGGGCCACATTTTGAATGCCCGGAGCCAACTGTAGGCCAATTCGTGCTCTTCGACTTCCCAGAACTCCATTCCCGGGCCACATTTTGGATGCCCGGAGCCAACTGTAAGCCACTTCGTGCTCTTCGAGTTCCCAGAACTCAATTCTCGGGCCACATTTTGAATGCCCGGAGCCAACTGTAGGCCACTTCGTGCTCTTCGAGTTCCCAAAAGTTCATTCCCGGGCCACATTCTGAATGCCCGGAGCCAACTGTAGGCTACTTCGTGGTCTTCGAGTTCCCAGAACACCATTCTTGGGCCACATTTTGAGTGCCCGGAGCCAATTGTAGGCCACTTCGTGCTCTTCGAGTTACCAAAACTCCACTCCTGGGCATGATTTTGAATGCCCAGAGCCAACTGTAGGCCACTTCGTGGTCTTCGAGTTCCCAGAACTCCATTCCTGGGCCACATTTTGAATGCCCAGAGCCAACTGCAGGCCACTTCGTGTTCTTCGAGTTCCCAGAACTCCATTCCCGGGCCACATTTTGAATGCTGAGGCAGGCTGAGGCTGAGGCAGGCTGAGGCTGAGGCAGGCTGAGGCTGAGAACGAGGCTGAAGGCAGACTGAGGCTCAGGCTGAAGCAGGCTGAGGCTGAGGCTGAGGCTGAAGCAGGCTGATGCTGAGGCAGGCTGAGGCTGAGGCTCAGGCTGATGCAGGCTGAGGCTGAGGCAGGCTGAGGCTGAGGCCGAGGCTGAAGGCAGACTGAGGCCGAGGCTGAAGCAGGCTGAGGCTGAGGCTGAGGCAGGCTGAGGCTGAGGCTGAGGCAGGCTGATGCTGAGGCAGGCTGAGGCTGAGGCTGAGGCTGATGCAGGCTGAGGCTGAGGCAGGCTGAGGCTGAGGCCGAGGCTGAAGGCAGACTGAGGCTGAGGCTGAAGCAGGCTGAGGCTGAGGCTGAGGCAGGCTGAGGCTGAGGCTGAGGCAGGCTGATGCTGAGGCAGGCTGAGGCTGAGGCTGAGGCTGATGCAGGCTGAGGCTGAGGCAGGCTGAGGCTGAGGCCGAGGCTGAAGGCAGACTGAGGCTGAGGCTGAAGCAGGCTGAGGCTGAGGCTGAGGCAGGCTGAGGCTGAGGCTGAGGCAGGCTGATGCTGAGGCAGGCTGAGGCTGAGGCTGAGGCTGATGCAGGCTGAGGCTGAGGCAGGCTGAGGCTGAGGCCGAGGCTGAAGGCAGACTGAGGCTGAGGCTGAAGCAGGCTGAGGCTGAGGCTGAGGCAGGCTGAGGCTGAGGCTGAGGCAGGCTGAGGCTGAGGCAGGCTGAGGCTGAGCTGATGCAGGCTGAGGCTGAGGCAGGCTGAGGCTGAGGCCGAGGCTGAAGGCAGACTGAGGCTGAGGCTGAAGCAGGCTGAGGCTGAGGCTGAGGCAGGCTGAGGCTGAGGCTGAGGCAGGCTGAGGCTGAGGCTGTGACTGCGACTGCCGTTGCCACTGCGACTTTCATCGCGAATGCGACTGCGACTGCGAGAACAGCAGAATTCTACAACTCGATTCTCATGTGAATGTTAAGGGGAATGCTTCCAGATATGCTCCTACACATCGCTGTTAGGTTGCTTTGCCTGGATAATTATGCAGAAGATGAGGGAGGGAACCGATACCGGCCTGCCTGGGATGGTATGAAGTCAGACCCTTGGATTTACTATGGGGAAAAACATATGCAAATTGCAACATGAATGTTGGTATCTAGTCGAAACGCTTTTGGGGACCTCGGGGGATGGGAGCCTCTTGGGGCCTGTTGGAGCTTCCCGGGGGCCTCTCAGGAGCATCCTGGGGTCTCTTCGTGGTTTCTTTGGGGCCTGTTGGGGGCCTTTGAGTTTTTCGGGGTGGAGGGTTCGAAATTTCCGTCTTGGTCCGTCGTCTCGGCACCGTCTTGGAACCGTTTGGGGGGCTTCTGGGGCCCTTTTGGAAGCGTGTTGGGCCGTCTTGGGGCTCTCTTGGGCAAGTTTGGGTCGCTCGTGGAGCCCTCGGGAGCTGTCTGGGGGCGATTGGGGAAGCCGCCGGGCCCGTCTTGGAGCGTCGGGGAGCGGGAGTGGCGAGAACGCCGGAATCATCAAAAAACCGATGGAACGTCTACGGTTTTTGTTCGCGAGGCTCTCTTGGGACTGCTCCTGCAGGCCTTGAGCGTCTTGCAGGATTCTTGGGCCGTCTGGAGGCCGTCCAGGCGTTTTGGACAGATCTTTCGGCGATTCGGGGCCCTCGTGGACTTTGGGGACTTTTGGGGCACTGTTGGCCCGTCACGAGGCTGTTTTGCAGCCCCGAAGCCCCTTGAGGGGAAACGCATTTGACCCAAGACCCCCCAGGTGGACCCGGGACCCCCCAGGTCCGGACCCGGAACCCCTCCCCTTCCTGGCGGGGGAAGGATCAAAGGGAAGGGGCGTCCCTTCGAATGTATGACGTTGGCCCGTTAACCCTGGGAGGGGGCAGATCCTAATATGATTATATAAAGGAGAGAACATATGTAGCGCAACCTACGGTATGTAATCTACGCGGTGTAACCTACAAAAACTATACATTTGTATGTGTGTTTACATGTATTCGATTGTGCATTATGTGGTGCAGTCGATATATATATATATATATATATATATATATATATA